CTCTTCTCTGCGCTTTTTCCTTATGATACAGGCCTACTTTCAAGAAGCTCTGCTGTGGCTGGCTTAGACTGACTCAAGTGTGTCAGCCAAAAGTATAATCATGGAGCTGGGATAAATTTAAAGGCAAAGGAAGTCATTATTAATTTTTGAGGGACAATTAAAATTTAACCACAATGTGTACATTCACTAGTGGGACTCTCTCTAGTTCTTTTGAGAAAGACAGTAAGCTAGCTTGAATCAGCCCTGATGCTTTGATTACTAATACTAATTAAGTAAAACTATGGGTCATTTAAATGTTCGATTAAAACTACTGACAAATAAAGGTAAAGAAATAAGTTAGTTTCAAAAAATGACTAGGATCTACTCCAGAAGTGTATGTGGGACCCTAATGAGGTACGTGCCTGCTCTCTGCCAGGCAGGTACTTGGCTAGGTGCATTACACACTTTAGAATTGCTGAAATGATTGGTTCTCTATAGGTCAAAGAAGAGGTGAGTTAATAGAAAAGATAAATTTTAAAGAATACTTTGCTGAAAGTAAGGAATTAGTTTCATGGGAGAGAAAATCATTTTATAAACAGCATATGGAAACGGCAAATGGAAATAGAATGCATATGTGGGATGTAAATATACCTGAATTAAATAAAGACCACAAACTACCATTTAGAACCACTGAGCAGGCCCACTGGGGAAAGGTAAGAGGTAATAATTTGAAGAGAACTTTAAAAGCCATTTTAAGAAGGTGTACTTCCTGTCAGAAAGCTCTGAGAGTTATGATTGAATTTTTTGCCAAAAGAAATACTGTTAAAGGGAAATTGATGGAAATAGAGGATAAAGTTTCACTTCGGGAAAACTTGAACACAGAGGATGCTGAAGAGGATGCTGTTTTAGTTAGCCAAGAATGAGTTGGACTAGTGTGCCAGGGTTGTCCATATTCACACCACGTTGGGGATGTGCCAAGGGGAGTCACCCCCATTGTGTCCACAGAGATAAAAACTACAGAACCGGGGATATTAATCATTAATGATTATGGCAAACTTGGAAAAGGGTGCTAATTGGGAAGAGAAGAGTAAGAAGGCAATGAGTTTTATTTTCCCCTGTTTAATTTTAGGCTTCTTTGGAATATCCATATGGAAGTATCCTTTTGGTTGCCAAGAATAAACACTTAATACACTTCATAGAAATTCTCTTTTTGTCCGTATGTCTCTGCAGAATTATAAGCTTCTTGGAGTTAAAAATGGTGAAGACCTTTCTCATCTTTGTATTTACAGGTCT